TTACTGGATTGTCAAATCTTTTTACTATACCCAACAGCACAGTAGAAATCACGATGAATATTTGCAGCCTGAATAAAATTTAACCCTACAAGTTCTGTTTAGGACTTCACTGCCTACTACTCAAGTTACTCTGCTTACTACCGCAAAAAATGCATGGTGACTCACTGTATAAATGTGTGTTTATCCATAAAAAATTGAATTTTCCCATGCAAAGATAACCTACAAGAGGTCTTCTTATGGCACGTGTAAATAAAATGAAATTTTACAATACCTCAAACTGTAATCCATTTATCAATATAATTATCATTTCAGCATAGATTGCACCTACAATTATTATATATTGCTCACTACAAATTATTGTACATGGTGGATTTGAAATAGAAATGACCTCAAAACTTATCTTGGAACTTGTAATATGAAAATCCTCTCTGTATGTTTGCAGGTTAACTGTTGGCATAATACTTTCTAAGGAATCATGAAAGAACTTTTCCTAAGCACCTTTCTTAGTGAAAAGACAGCTACTGTGAACAAATTTTATTGCCGTAAATATAACAAGCTGTGAAGGGCCAGGGTTTAGTGGCCTTGGGGCCAGGTCTTGATTTTTATCCCCAGTTATTATGAAGTGTACCCCAAGCTAATTTCATAAAATTATAGGAGAAAAATCTAACCAATACAATTCCTTGCTGTTTGATTGTCTATATACGTGTTGTATTTAACTACAACTTGAAATTTTAGTTACAGACCTAAAATATTAAATTTATAAAACACATTTAACTTTCCGTATTAAATTACTTTCCTAACACCCTCAGACACACTGTCAGTCCCCAGTTGTTCAAAACCTGGATAGCGCTATCCACAGGATAAATCACTATCCAGTGGAAGGATAGATTTATCCGCTGGATAGCGCTCTCCACCTTTTGAACAACTGGGGCCAGGTGGACAGAACAATCCAGCTTTTGATCAACCTAACTAAGGGATAACATGAGACTATGAAATTCTAAGGGAGCTGCAGACAGTAATGTGTACTCTACGTAACAGCATATATAACCTATTATGAATATTTATACTTTCCAAAAGTACACAGATGAATCAAGTTACAGACTAAATATTGGTTTCTATCATATGTGAATTGACAAGTAACAACTTTGTACTCACCTTGGTCAGTTGTCACAATGAGGGGTTCTGAATAATCCCCAGTCACGGTAAATTGAAAATCTTGAAACATAGGTAAAATAGTTTTCGAGGCAGCCACTTGGATAATATACTGAGTACCCTCCCCTAAGTTACTAAGAGTTGCCTGCCATGTATTCCATCCAGGTATGGGCACTTTTATAAAATTATCTGTTTTCGATTGATACTTTTTGTATCTTACAACGAAGTTGCGAGAATCACTCATAAAATCCTCATCTTCAGGATGTGGTGTCCATTTGACAGTAATTGATGTGCCCTCTACCACATCCAAG